ACTCACCACAGTTACAGGACATTTGGAGAGATGTTCCATAGTCCCCTGGAATTTAGTGAACCTTGGAGGGCAAGGGGCAAAAACTGTTCTTTACGTCCCTCTGACCACATTAGTATAGGCCTCAAAGTATGGCTGTTAAACATCCAATAAGGTTAGTTCCACCAGTCTGGTACTCTTAATTACTGTATTAGTCACTTTTCTGTTGCTGTGATAGAAACACTGACCCAAATAATTTATAGAAGGAACAGTTTATTTGAGCTTACTGTTCCAGGGGAATTACTGTCCGTCATGGCAGGGAGGCATGGTGGCTGGAGCAGGAGCAGCAGAAGCTAAGCTCTCATGTCATCACACAGGCACAGGAAGCAAGAGAGCGACTGCAGATCTGGCAAGGCTTAAGAACTCTCTAAGCCCACCCCCAGTGACGTGCTTCCTCCAGGATAGCCACACCTTCTAAAACCTCCCAAAATGGCGCCATCCTCTGGGGACAAAATGTCCAGATACTTGGAGCCTATGGGGGACATTTTCATCCAAACCATCACAGTTACCATGTGCTGTGTAGATAAAGCTTGGCTGAAAAACCAAATATTCTCAGATAAACCTTGACTAGATATATATTTTGTTTCTTAAACTAGTTGACTAAACTATGACCTTAGAAATGTTAACATTATGTGTATATTTTTGTTTCTCATTTTCTTTTTTTTTTTTTAATAATTATAAAATTTCCATCTATTGTGAGAATTCTTTTCCTGGGGATACTAAGCAATGCTTATTCCCTTTTAAGGTTCTAGTATCAAGCCAATGTTTCATTGAAGTTTTCCTGGGGACTCACTGAATTTACTGAGCTTGCTTACAAGGATGACTGAGAGGTTGCTGAGTTGTATTAAGTGACCTTGGGGTATGCACACTGCAAAGCCATTACCCAGCATGGATCAAGGCTTTTCTTCCTAGCTTTCCCCAGATTAGTCCTTCCCAAATCCAGGAGACCATGTGAGATTAGGGCCAAATTACATACAGTTGGCTGGAAGAGTGGCTGGACACTGGTGAGGGTCCAATGACCCCCCCATTTGTTAAAGATGCTGTCTTTTTTTTCCAGTGCATGTTCTTGGAAACTTTATCAAATGTAAGGTGACTATAATTATATGCACTCATATTTGAGTCTTCTATTTTTTTTTTACCACTGATCTACAAGTCTGCTCCTGTGCAATACCATGCTGCTTTTATGAATACAAATGTAATATAATATAGACTGAGGTTTGGTATAGTAATTTGCCCTGCATTTTTATTTGTGTGTGTGTGTGTGTGTGTGTGTGTGTGTGTGTGTGTGTGCCACATAAGTCTATAGGTGCTGGGATTACAAATGTATACCACCATGCTAGAAAACTGCAAGTAGCTCTTTTAATTTATTTTATTTATGTTACTACTGGGGAATTGAACCCAGGAACTCAAACATGGTAGTGATTTTACTTTTAGAAATATTTAATCTGGTAGCCCCACAGATTTTGTTGTGGTGTTAATAGTATGCTAATTTTGACCGAATTCTGCTTCAGTTCAATTATTTTAAGTATCCTGACAGATAGTAATAGTTTTATCTATATAGCAAAGATAAACTTCAAATTCAGTAATGTTTAAATTTCTTGTTAATTTTGTGGAGCTTTGATTATTAGAATTAATGATTTTGGGCTGGAGAGATGGCTCAGCGGTTAAGAACACTGGTTGTTTTTGCAGAAGACCCAGGTTTGAATCCCAGCACCCACATGTTAGCTAACAACTGTCTATAACTCCAGTTCTGGGGGATCCGATGGCCTCTTCTGTCCTCCGTGGGTATTGCACTACACGGGTGCACTTACCTACATGCAGGCAGTACACACATAGACATAGAAAAAAAAATAAACTAAAATATTTTTAAAGAATTAATGATTTTGAGTAAAATTTTAGTCAGAGATTAATGATCAGAGACACAGGAGAAAAAAACAGGATCCATAAATTAGCTACAGAAATAAGTCAGATTAGGAAAAATGAAGAGCTACAACAGGAGTAATTAGTTCCTATGAGCAGTCAGTTAATTGAGTTCTGAGCTTGGAAGCCTTAATGAAAAGAGGAAATATTCAGTTAGATGGTTTTTTATTGCTTACGAAAACTGTTTCTGGGACTGGATAGATGACTCAGTGGTTAAGAACACTGTCTGCTCTTGTAAAGGACCCAAGTCCACTTTCCAGCATCCACATGGTAGCTAACAGCTCTCTGTAACTCCAGTTCCAGGGGATCCAATGCTGACTTCTGCCTCTGCAGGCTCTGCATGACACATGAGTACTTGTTACAAGTATCAGGCAGAACACTCATATGCAGAAAGTTTAAATAAGATTCCCATAACTTTGAACCATTGGATGAATTTTATATACAGGTATCCCCCCCACACACACTTTTTAAAAAAATGGAGTCTTGCTATTTTACCCAGCCTGGTGCTGAATTCCTTGGCTCAAGCTATCCTGCTTCAAGTTCAAAGTAGTTGAGGTTATGGGTGCAGGTTGCCATGCTTGGTTCATACAAATATTTCTTTTTTTTAATTTTTATTTTTATTTTATGTATATGAGTGTATTGCCTGAGTGTATGTAAGTGCACCAGTGTCCTGCAATGCCTGTGGAGGACAGAAGAGGGAGTTGAATCTCCTGGAACTGGAGTTATAGACAGCTGTTGGTTGCCATGTGGGTGCTGGGAACCAAACCTAGGTCCTCTACAAAAGCAACCAGTGCTCTTAACCTCTGAGCCATCTCTCCAGCCCCAAACAAGTATTTCTTGAGTTGTTATTTTAGTGCTGTTTAATATGTAACATTTTAAAAGTTTTCTGATCTTTCAGGAGTTTTTGTTTTGATTTGGTGGTAGAAATTGAACTCAGGGCCTTGGGCATGCTAAGAATGCACTCTACCACCCTCAGCCTTACTTTTCAGGATTTGATTAGGATATTTGAGGAACTTGGTAGTTGATATATGCTCCTTAGACTCTGAATAATTGTGTTTTGGCAGTATGATAATTCAAGAGACCTGATTGAAACTTGATTATTAATGCTATAAAATTTACTAGTGTGGCTGAGCATGGTGGAGTATGTGTTTATTCACAGTAGGCAGGCGCAGGTGGATCTCTGAGAGATCAAGGCCAGCCTGGTTCTGTATAGTGAGTTCCAGACCAGTTGGGGCTACAGGGAGACCCTGTCTCAAAAAACCAAAAAGAAAAAAAAATTTTTTTTACTAGTTTGTTCAAATGTGTGCATGGATATTTTCTTTGGTTTTCTCTTCTGAATAAAGTATAGATGCTCTGTGGTATTTTGTGTGGTTCTGTACAGTGCCAAGCACTAGGGAAACCAGAGAAATCACAGCAGTATTTTCCATGTCCTGCAGTAATATTATCTGTGCGTACTACAGTATTATACAAATGAGAAATAACTTGAGGGCTGCTGAGATGGCTCAGCAGGTAAAGTGCCTGCTGCCAAGCCTAATGCCTGGAGGTCAAACCTCAGAAGCCTCATGGTAGAAGGAGAGGACCGACCCCTGCCAAGTTGTCTTCTCAACACACACACCATGGCCCATGCGTGCCCACACACACAGGAATAAATGGGAAAAATTTTTTTAAAGAAACAATTTGAATGCACATCAAAGCACCTAGGATCTCAGGCTGTCCTCCATTAATGTTGGCTTGCTTGCTTTCACTGTTCTAACCTGATGAAAGTCCTCAAGACATTCTCCTTGGTGCTCATCCTAAACTAGTTTTTCCTGGTTTCGATTGACTTTAGTTTGCTCGTTTGGTTTAAAATAGGCTCCATAGATATAACTTGATTCCTGCCCCTCCTTGGATTTCTTCTCCCCTATCCCCTTTCCCTCTGCCACCACCAAAATCAAATCAAGATAATCAAGATGGAGGCTTGATCTGTCTCCGGCGAAAGGTGCTGGTAGAATTTATCTCAGGATTTGGCACTTTCTTCTATTCAGACAAAACCCCTGCTGTTATAGATAAATAAACTGTTTCTGGTGATAATATAGTACTGTCATGATCTTGGAGATGACACTCATAATTTCCCTTTGACCCAAAAGACTTTTTCCTTTTTAATAGAGTTTTCAATTACCCTTACTAACATTACTTTTAGATTTTAATCACTGAAAGCCTCAGTCGCTTTCTATTGAGGTAGTAATTGAAATATTAATATATTTAGAGCAGAAATGTCGTTTTTTAGGGAACCTAGAACAACAGCAAAGCTGAGGTCCAACTGCCTTAAGAATGGACACCAAAGAAGATGTATTTGGGACAGAAAGAAATCAAGATAAGGTAGATGCAAACTAGAGAAAGACCTGGACATGGGGGTCTGGGTGGGAGTGGGTTGTGTGCCACTGAAGGCTGAAGTTTAGCTGATGTAGAACATTTAGTAGAGTACTTAACAATTAAGTTTGGGGCAGAGGTATTGCTCAGTGGAAGTGTTTTCCCAGAATGTGTGAGGCTCTGGGTTCAGTTCCCAGCACTGCAAAAACAGGTTTTTAAACAAGGTTGTTTTGCGGGGCAGTGGGCTCTCCTTTTAGATAGTGCTTTGTTTCTGCACTGCCAGGGAAGGCGAGCATGGTGTAGTCGGTAACCAGTGCCAGAACCCAGCTATAGCACTCACTACTTAGAAGTCAAAAGAGAACCTCCTTTTGGATCGACAGCATTAGCACGGATATCAGAATGGCATTTCTGTGGTGTAAGCATTGTGCCTCTCCTCACAGCACCATGAGCCGTGAAGACCGGGATGTGCTGCGCATGAGAGAACGGGAGAGGCGGAATCAGGAAGTCCAGCAGAGTGGAGACACCTTCCCGCCCAGCTCGCCTCTCTTTGCAGAGCCATACAAAGTCGTAAGTTGTCCTTTGAATTTTTTTCACCTCACCTACACACCAGCTGTGCTTTTAGAAGTTACTTATTTAAAATTTATGTGTGTGTGTGTATGTGTATGTGTGGGTGTGGGTGGGTGGGTTGGTGGAGTTGCAGGTGAGAGTGAGCTGCCATGTGGGTGCTGAGAACTGAACTCACGTCCTCTGCCAGAGCAGCCAGTGCTATTAGCCACTGAACCATCTCCCCACCTCTGCTTTTTGGACTGGTAAGATGGCTCAGCAGGTAAAGTTGCTTGCTGCCCAGCCCAGTGACTTGAGTGCCATTGACTCTCTGACCTCCACATGAACTCTGTGGCACTTACCCACATCTGTGATAATAAATAAATAAAAGTTCTTTTTATTATTTATTTATGTTCACGTGTTTGTGTTTGCTTATTAGTATGTAGATGTGAATGTGAGTGCTCACGGAGGCCAGAAGAGGACATCAGACCCCCTAGAGCCAGAGTTATGGGCTGTTTGCTCTGAGCAGCCTGATGTGGGTTGGGGAATAGAACTCGGGTCCTCTGGAGGAGCAGGCTGTGCTCTTTACTGCTGAGCCATCTCTCCAAGCCCAAATAAAACTTTTTTCAAGGCGGGGCTTGGTGGCGCACACCTTTAATCCCAGCACTTAGGAGGCAGAGGCAGGTGGATCTCTGTGAGTTCAAGGCCAGCCTGGTCTCCACGGTGAATCCAGGACAGCTGGAGCTACAGGGAGACCCTGTCTCAAAAAGACCAAAAAAAAAAATTTTTTTTCAAAATATTTCACGTGAACAGTATCACATAATTAGTACTCTGATCAGGAAGTTGAACTTTACCAACCCCTTGAAGTCCTTTTTTAGCCACTCTCTTGTTGCTGTCCTGCACTCTTAAAGATTGGGTCTGAACTGACTCAAATATTCATAGGCTTCTGGCTGTGCCATTGGCTATGCAGGCATTTTACCTTTGAGCCTTGAATTAGGTAAACATCTGGTTGATGAATATCCATTGCCTGCTGTTTATTAGGTATTGTTGATTATAACATCATCAAAGATGACTACTTCACTGATGCTTGTTCTCCCTGTTCCCTCCCACTTGTTTATTCAGTAATTTTTTTTTTGTCTTTTTGAGATGGGGTCTCCCTGTAGTCCCAGCTGGCCTGGAACTCACTATATAGACCAGGCTGGCCTCGAACTCACAAAGATCCACCTCTGCCTCTGCCTCCCGAGGGCTGGGATTAAAGGCGTGCGCCACCACGCCTGGCTATTCAGTAAGTTTTGTTGACTATTAGTATTAATAGTGACTGTTTCCTTTGTGTATTTCCTTGTTCTGTTATAGTAACTGAATTCTGATATTCCTTCTAATGAATTTAATAACTATTAGTTATATTAAATACTTGCCAGAGGCATTGCATAAATTGAATCAAATGATGTTTTTATTGCCATCATTGTACTTGATTTGAGATTACAAAAGACACTGGATGGTACCAATTCTCGTGACTCTAACGTAGCTTTAGAGGTGGCGTGTCTGGCATTTCATTAGACTTGAGATTTCAATGGTTGTTAAAATGTCAAAGACTCGTGTATAACAGTGTTGGTACTGTGTGCTACAGCAGGAACGGCCACTGCTGGTTTATGGTGTGAGGGTAAGAGTATGCTGGACATTTTTTTTCTGATGAGATATTGAAAGTAATGTATCCATAGTTTACTCCCCCACAGTTGGTGTTTTTAGAGACCATTTATATGCTCTGTTAAAGCCATTTATCCTGAGCTTTTAAGGATATTCCAATTTTAAAATAGTCATATTGACATTGCTTATGTGGGTTTGGCACAAAATCTGGTATTAGTAATTTGGGCATATTGAAAAAAAATTAAGAGTTTTCTCCAGACTCTCTGATCATACTACCATTTGTTTTGTAATTATATTGCAATGAATTGGACTTGTTTTCTGATCTCAGTGTTGTCTGCAAATTCCTGTATGTATACCTTGTTTGTTTAGTAGGATCAGACAGATTTAGTTTTTGTATATTTTTGGTGTTTGTCTTTTGGGGATTTTTTAAATTTTTTTTTAAATATTTATTTTGGGGCGCTGGGGAGATGGGTCAGCAGTTAAGAGCATTGACTGCTCTTGGAGAGGACCTGGGTTCGATTCCCAGCACCCATATGGTGGCTACGAACCGTCCTTAACTCCAGTTCCAGGGGAATCCGAAGCCCTCTTCTGACCTCCGCAGCATTGCACGACATGGGTGCACTCACGTACATGCAGACAATACACTTATACACATAAAGTAAAAATAATAAATAAAATATTTTTAAAAACTTGTACGAGTGCACAATACACTATGTATGAGTGTACTGTATGTGGGAAGGTGCACCATGCCACACGTTGCTCACGGAGGTCAGAAGAGGGCATTGGATCCCCTGGAACTAGAGCTATGGGCAGGTATTAGCCGCTGTGTGGGTGCTGGGAATTGAACTTGGGTCCTCTGCTAAAGCAGTCAGTGCTCTTAAATGCTGAGGCCATCTCTCCAACCCCCATTTTTTTTCCTTTTTTAGAATTTTTTTTTTTTGAGACAGGGTCTGTGTGGGTGCCTGGAATTGAACCTGGGTCCTCTGCTAAAGCAGTCAGTGCTCTTAAATGCTGAGGCCATCTCTCCAACCCCCATTTTTTTTCCTTTTTTAGAATTTTTTTTTTTTTTTGGAGACAGGGTCTCCCTGTAGCCCCAGCTGGCCTGGAACTCGCTATGAAAACTAGGCTGGCCTCGAATTCACAGAGATCCACCTGCCTCTGCCTCCCAAGTACTGGGATTAAAGGTGCCACCACACCCAGCAGAAAACTATTTTTAATTATGTCTACATGTGTAGGCTTGTGTGCATGTGAATGCGGTGCGTGTGGAGGCCAGAGGTGTTAGATACCCTGGATCTTGAGTTGTAGGTGGTTCTGAGCCCCAGATGTGGGTACTGGAAATGAAACTCAGGTTCCCTACAAGAGCAGTACATGTTCTCAACTGTTGAGGTGTCTCTTCACCTCTCCTGGGTCTCTTGTATCTCAGGCCTAAAACTCAGTCTGGTCTGTAGCTAGGGATGACCTTGAACTGATGATCTTCCTGACTAGTCTCCTGAATTCTGGTAATGCATCACCATGCCAGTTTATGCAGTACTAGGGATCGAACTCAGGGTTTTGTGCATGCTAGGGAAGCACACCACTGCCTGAGTTGTATTCTTAGCCCTGGTTGTTCACTTTTGATTTCTTTTTAATGTAATTTGTAAATGGTCTTCTGTATATATGAGACTGATAGAGTCCTAAGGTATCTAGACCTTATTCACCCAAGAATGTGTGTGTGTGTGTGTGTATTTTGTGTTTGTTTCTAGATACTAACTTAAGATATGAAGTGAGACCTATCTTTAAAAGCACCTGTTCTAGTGACCTCTTTAATCTCATCACTTGGGAAGCAGAAACTGATAGACCCTTGTGAATTCCAGGTCCACCTGGTCTACCTAGTGAGTTTCAGGCCAGCCAGGGCTACACAGTGAGAATTTCTCTCAAAAACAAACAAAAGCTTTTTCTGTTGAAGGTTTTATAAAATCAGTTCAGAAGAATATTTTATTTCTAATTCTACTAATCATTTTGTTTTCTTCTTTTTTTTAGACTAGCAAAGAAGATAAGTTATCAAGTCGTATTCAGAGCATGCTTGGAGACTATGATGAAATGAAGGATTTCATAGGAGACAGATCTATACCAAAGCTTGTTGCAATTCCCAAGCCTACAGTACCACCGACAGCAGATGAAAAAACCCCAAACTTCTTTGAACAGAGACATGGAGGCTCTCATCAGAGCAGCAAGTGGACTCCAGTAGGACCTGCACCCAGCACTTCTCAGTCTCAGAAACGGCCCTCTGGCTTGCAGAGTGGACACAGTAGCCAGCGGACCAGTGCAGGTGGCAGTGGCACTAGTAGTAGTAGCCAGAGGCATGACCGCGAGTCATACAGCAGCAGCAGGAAGAAAGGCCAGCATGGGTCAGAACACTCCAAGTCACGGTCCTCAAGCCCCGGGAAACCCCAGGCTGTTTCTTCATTAAGCTCTAGTCATTCCAGGTCTCATGGGAACGATCACCATAGCAAGGAACATCAGCGTTCCAAATCACCTCGGGACCCTGATGCCAATTGGGATTCTCCTTCCCGAGTGCCTTTTTCAAGTGGGCAGCATTCAAATCAGTCTTTCCCACCTTCACTGATGTCAAAATCCAGTTCAATGTTACAGAAACCCACTGCCTACGTCCGACCCATGGATGGACAAGAGTCCATGGAACCAAAGCTGTCCTCTGAGCACTATAGCAGCCAGTCTCATAGTAACAACATGACTGAGCTGAAGCCCAGCAGCAAAGCCCACCTCACCAAGCTGAAGATACCCTCCCAGCCTTTGGATGTAAGTCACATAGTGTGTAACATTGTGACCATATAAAGTAGTTGACCATGGTATTTTGAATGAATTGGAATGGCCCTTTTGCCTTACAGTTTATGTATTTATTTAGAGTTTTAAAAAATGTTATCTATTATTTTTATTTTATGTGTATGAGTGTATTGCCTGCTGGGTTTGGTGGCGCATATCTTTCATCCCAGCTCTCTCAGAGGCAGAGGCTGGCAGATCTCTGTGAGATTGAGGCCATCTGGTCTACATAATGCGTTCTTGGTCAGCTGGGGCTTCAGAGGAGATCCTGTCTTTGAAAAAGAAAGGAAAGGGTGAGGGGCCAGAGAGATGGCTCAGCAGTTAAGAGCACTAACTGCTCTGGCAGAGGACCAGGTTTGATTCCCAGCACCCACATGGTGGCTAACAGCTGTCTATGTCTCCAGTTCCATGGGCTCTGATGCCGCCTTCTGACCTCTGTGGGCACTGGATGACACGGTTGTACTTACACACATGCAGGCAATACACTCATACACATAAAATAATAATAGATAAAATATTTTTTAAAACCCTAGATAAATAAATACATAAACTATAAAAGTTTAAAGATTTACAAAAAAAAGTTTAAAGAAAGACTTGGGAGGTGATTCTCCAGTGGATCCATAGATCTGTGAGCTTCACGTCTTGGGAGATAGAGAAAATGTCATTCATGCCTTTCAAATATTAAAATGACAGGTCAGGGGGCTGGAGAGATGGCTCAGAGGTTAAGAGCACTTACACACTTGCTGAGGACCCCAAGTTCAGTTCCCAGCACTCACGTCAGGTGACTCACAACCTCCTGTAACTTGAGCTCCAGGGAATCTGACACCATCTTCTGGACTCCATGAACACCCCAGTGCATATACATACGCACACACACACACTTGCACAAATTCACATAAAAAATCTTTTAGAAGTAATCTCCCTTTGCTTCTGGAAGTTCAGTGCTGCACTTGTCACCTAATGCTTCTCTTCAGAGAACGAGGAAGTGGCCATTTGTTCAGTCTTCAGAGTTAGGCTTGAGCTTAGCTTCCTGATTTCTGTTTATGACTGAAGCAGTTGCCAGGCTAGAGAGATGGCTCAGTGGTTAAGAGCACTGACTGCTCTTGCAAAGGACACAGGTTCGATTCCCAGCACCCACATGGCAGCTACAAACAGTCCTTAACTCCAGTTCCAGGGGAATCTGACGCCCTCTTCTGACCTCTGCGGCATTGCATGACATGGGTGCACTCACACACTTGCAGGCGCTACACATAAAATAAAATGTACACATAAAATACAATATTAAAAAAAAAAAGTTGCCTTCTGTAATTTACAAAGTGCTATGTGAAATCTAGTTCACTGTGGTCCAGAATATTAGTTTTTCAATAATGTCCATTTTATTCTGTTTGTTAGTTTATCTGGAATTATGTCTCAGTATCGTGGGTTTTTTTATATTGAATAAGCTTTGAAATTTTTAGATAGTCTGATCACCTGAAAGATTACATTTAAAAAATTTACATAGGAAAAATATTCCAAAGTATCTAGCTAGGATTCTCATTTAGAGTAGTGAGATTTTAAATTTAATGTAATTTGTAATGATATTTTAAATCTGTGTAGTAAATATTAAAAACCTAATAATAAATTATTTCTGATATAATGTGTTCCTTTTTTCTTAAGGCATCAGTTTCTGGTGATGTGAGCTGTGTGGATGAAATTCTCAAAGTAAGTTTTTTTTTAATCATTTCGGTCTCATTTAATTATCACCTGCATCACCAACCTGTGTTTCATGTATTAATTCATTCCGAGCAGATTGATTATGTCACGTCCATCATAAATAACTGACACAACATGGTTCATTTAATGTTTGCTTTAAAAGCGTTAACCTTGAAAAGAGGAAGAAACCATTTGTAACTGTATTTCCTCAGGCTGATCAGCTAATGTGAAGGATTAAAAATTTCAGTTGTTTCCAAACCATGTTGACAGTAGCCTGGTTTGTAATTCCTCTGTACATTCTGATCAAACACTGCAATAAAGGGCATCCTCTGAATATTGATTTTGAGTGTTTATTGGACACACTTAAAATCTACACATGAGTCAGGCATGGTAACGCACGCCTTTAATCCCAGCACTCCAGAGGCAGAGGCAGGCAGATCTTTGTGAGTTCAAGGCCAGCCTGGTCTACATAGTGAATTTCAGGCCAGCTGCGGCTACAGGGAGACCTTGTCTCAAAAAAGACCAAAAAAAAAAAAGATCACATAACCAAAAATGACATTCCTCTGGTGTGAAAAAGGAAAGGCCAGTGAATTAGTGAGTGACCAGGATGACTCTTGGCTCCTAAGAGACAGAGTCAGTCACATACACTTCACTTTTTTGGAAAGTTTGTTAATTTTTTGTTTGTACTTGAAGTTCATGGCATATCCCTTTGAGAGACACTGATTACCTGTCTTAACTCTTTCTCCCATTTTTACCTCCTGCTCCTTCCCTTGACCTTGATCATTTTCCTGAGCTTGTTTCTCTAATGTCATTCTCTTGTCCTTCTGTCCAAGGCTTAATTCTTTTTAAGAACTCAGGCTCTTTTTTTTTTTTTTAACTGCGTCTCAGTTTTCCTTCAGGAAACCTGATTTTTCCTTGTTGTTGGTGTTGACTCTTGTACACCTCATCTACCTTTCTTCTTGTAGAACTCTGTGGCTTCTCTTAGCTCCTGATGGCAGTGAGTTCTTCAGCCCCTTTCTGTGCTTTATTCCTCTCCTCTGCCGTCCTTGGCATAACTAGCTCTGCCGTCTTTCTCTCCTGCCTTGGTTGCTTTTGGCTTTTGGTTTGTTTCTTCATTTGCTCCTAGCTGGATGTCCATTGGAATCTGCCTGCTTCTTCGGTCTTAACACTCTGAGCCACCCTTGTCACGCCACCTCTGCTGGAAGTACAGATCCCCATTATCTCTTAACATCTTCCTCATGTTCTGTGAAACCACAAAGCTAGGTCTAGACTTGAAATGTCTTTGAAAAATTTCCATTCTCTTCTTTCCATTCTGCCCACTTGAGCTTTAGTTAGTTTTGTTTGTTTAGTTAATTTAGTTTTGAGTCTTCACCAGCCTGAAGACTGAATTCAGTTCCCTAGAAATCACAGAGGGAGGAGATGGCTGGCCTCCCAGGAGTTCTTTTCTGCCTTCCACACATGGGCCATGATGTGTGAACAATGATCATTATAAATAAGGAAATTCTTTAATGTCCTTTTTCTTTTTGCCTTCAAAATCCTTCAGTTGTCTTTTTATACTGATTTGAGAGTCTTTACTTCAGTCCCTGGTCTTCAAAACTTAATTATTCTTAGAAGTTTTCAGAGGCTCCATAAGACCACAATTTTGAGAAGGAATTTAACATTCCATTAGTCCTAACCTCTCCTACTGCAAATTAACCATGTTTGCCAAACTGGTTTCCCTAAACCATACATTAATCATTTTCTTAGGTTTTTGTCTTTTTGAGACAGGCTCTCCCTGTAGCCCCAGCTGGCCTGGAACTTGCTTTGTAGACAAGGCTGGCCTCTAACCCACAAAGATCTGCCTGCCTCAACCTCCGGAGTGCTGGGACTAAAGGTGTGCACCACCACGCCTAGCAGTTTTTTCTTTTTTTCCATTTTATCTTTTATTTTATGTATATGTGTACATTGCCTGCATGAAGGTAAGTACATCCGCGTCGTGCAATGCCTGTGGAGGACAGAAGAGACTGTTGGATCCCCTGGGACTGGAGCTAGGGACAGTCATCTGCTGCCATGTGGGTGCTGGGATTCAAACTCTGGTCCTCTGCAAGAACAACCAGTGTTCTTAACCTCTGAGCCATCTCTCCAGCCCCATATTTTTTTCTTTTTAAGATAGCGTTTCCTATGGTGGAGGCTGGCCTTGAACTACTCATCCTCCTGGCTTACCTCCCAAGCACTGGGATTAGAGGCATGCAGTTCCACACTGGGCTTTAATTACTTCCTTAAAGTAAGCTTCCTGGGGATATTTCTCTTCTTCTCTTCAGTAGTCCATGAATTCTCTTAGAATTCCAGTGAAACCTGCCTTCTTTCCTTTATCAGACCACAGTGATAACTCTTCAACTTGAACCTCATGTAGCATTCATGGTATAAAAGTATAAGGGGATGGCTGGGTGTGGTAGTGCACACCTTTAATCCCAGCACTGGGGAGGCAGAGGCAGGCGGATCTCTGTGAGTCCGAGGCCAGCCTGGTCTACATAGTGAGTTCCAGGACAGCTGGGGCTACAAGGAGATCCTGTCTCAAAAAGACAAAAAAAAAAAAAAAAGGTGTAAGAGGACAAATGTTCTTTCCCTGAAATTTTAGGAGTACATAGAACTTTAGTGCCTGGAAATTTTTCTTATATTTTTCTCTGATTTTACTAACATTTAGTCTACATTTTATATATATGGAACTTGGCATGTGGCCTTGGATGTTTTATTGCCCAGTCACTTGATTGTTAAATACATTTTTAGGTGATTATATTTTGGTATTTGAGATATAAAATGCCAGTACTGAGAACCTGAGGTACATAAATTTGTTTTCACTACCCTCCCTACCTAGTGTTCAAGGGACTGTACTTCCATGTTCCTTTATTTTTCTTCATGGGTTTTTGTTTTCATACGACTTGTAATCATACTGTCTAGGAGCACTATTAGGAAAATAGGGAAAAAATTCAGTCTAAAGTAATATGTATTTATGAAAATTATCAGTTGACAACCTATTATGTGTCAAGCACTGGCAGTGCACAGTGGTGATATTAGTTGTACTGTATCAGCTGGTCATAGGAAGTAGTAAGTATTGTAAGAAGAGAAAGAGCAATTATATACAAGTGGCTGTTTTAAGAGGTTGTGGTAGACACTGTACCACCCGCTCTGTCTCCTGCCCTTTCTGCTAGTCTGTTGTCTCAGTGACCACTAGTAACTGTCTTTTCAGAGACTTTTCTTTATATACATAAACATTTACCAGGACGTAGACTGTTGGTTTGTGTTTGACAATAATAAACTATGGACATCATTTCAAATCTTAGTTTAATTTTCCATTTTAGTGTCTGCTTGGTGTTTCCTTGTGTGGATGTTATTTAATCAGTACTGTATTGTTAGATACCTGAGTTATTTCCATTTGTTAGCAAAGACTCCTCTGCAGTCTTTATATATCTTAATGTATTTTTATATAACTGTGTGGTTATAGCTATAGAATAAATGTCTAAGCATGGTATATCACCTTTAATTTACCTAGTGGCTAAGTTTGAACTAAATACAAGAAATAAAATACTTCCTTATTCTAAATCTTGATACCTCTCACTTCCTTGACCCTCTGGCAAACACATCATTTTATACAGACTCACTTGTTTCCTGCTCCCAAGAGCTGAGATTATAGGCATATATGCCCCGTGCCCCATGCCCAGCTCACCTGGCCATATTTAGCATGATTAGACAGAAGACATTGAACAACATCAGACCGGGGGTTGGTCTTACGTGTTTTCTTCCTAATACGCTTTTGAAATCTCTCTTTTGATTTCTTCACATGACTAAAACTTTGTATCAGCGCATGGGCTGTATAATCATACTTCCTATAATGACATTCTGTGTCCGTTACTTACTAAGCATGCAACCGTGAATAAATAATTTACCCTTTGTTCTTTAGTCTCACCTTCAATAGAGTCAGGATAATATTGATGTCCGCCCCATGGTGGCGGACAAGTAAAACACTTAGCAGAGTGTCTGCTCTACTGAAGATAAATATTGTTAGCTGTTTCCCTTGTTGTTTCCCTTTTCCACTCCCATAGCAAACACCTGCTTAGTAGAATTTTATAATATGCTTTGTTAGGCATAGCGGCTCCTGCTGTAACCCTAGCACAGGGGGCAGAGACAGGAGGACCACCATAAATTCAAGGCCTACCTGATCTACATAGTGAGTCCCAGGCCAACCTGGGCTACAGAATGAGACTCCGTTTCAGAAAATAGATGAACTCCTCCTCACCCCTGCCCAAACAAACATACAAACAACCAAACAAAAACCAAATCTTGTCCAGGTTGATCTTTGTAACTATCCAAAGATTTTTATCATACTACCTATGAGCTCCTTATAATCAGGGAGTATTTATTATTCACTGTACTGGCCTAATAGTGCCTTGCACACAATTGTGCTTTATTAAGATTTATTGGCTAAGTATGTATAGTTTTGGAGGATTGATCATAAAACCAGCATTTCTAAGTACAAATCTGGTTTTTAGCTTGTATGGTTTTTTTTATCATTGACCTGGTTGAAACCAAACTGTAATAATTACATTTCAGGAGATGACGCATTCATGGCCTCCCCCTCTAACGGCTATTCATACACCATGCAAAACAGAACCTTCCAAATTTCCTTTTCCAACTAAGGTAAGTAAATAAAATATGTCTTTGATGATGTAACAAAACTCTAAATGACTCAACTAAAAGCATATGAGTTCAAACTTGTCTTGCCACCCCTAGTGGGAAAAACAATAACTAAGCAAACAAAGAGGTTCAAAGTGACACTGTATGTGAAGAAATTTTAAAATAAAAATGGAATTGAGAACTTCCTGGATGGAGAGGTGTTTAAGCTTGGAAGGCAGTAGGACGAGGCAGTAGAAGACATTGATGTTGCTGGGTGTGGTGGCATAGGCCTTTCATCCCTGTGTACTTGGGAGGCAGAGGCAGGTAGATCTCTGTAATTTTGAGGACAGCCTGGTCTACCTAGAGAATTCTGGGCCAGCGGGGGCCTGGATGGTTATTGCACACTATTATGTTGTTCTAGACTAAAGGTAAGGTTGGGGTTACTCAAGTTGTCATCTGAGGAACCCCTTCCTGGAGAACCATAAACAACCATGTTTATGTCTATGAGAAGAGGCTCCTCAGCAAAATTTTCCAGCCTGTCTAAAATCTGCAGCTTAACTTTTATAAACACTAATTTATACTTTATACAAATAATACAAGGGTGGGTGTGGGAGCTCATACTTGCTGTCCCCAGCATTATGGAAGCAGAGACCAGAGGATCAGGAGCTTAAGGCCAGCCTGGGCTGCATGTGATCCTGTTTCCTAACCCCACCCAAAACAGTCAAACAAAAATAAACTCTTCTGGGGGCTGGAGAGATGGCTCAGCAGTTAAGAGCACTGACTGCTCTAGCAGAGGACCCAGGTTCGATACCCAGCACCCACATGGTAGCTGTGAACTGTGCTGGGATTAAAGGCCTGCTCCACTACACCCGGCTAGAAACATTTTTAACATTTATTTGTATGTGTGTGCACACATGTGCACACCTATGCCTGCCATGGTATATGTGTAGAGGTCAGAAGACAATTTTTGGAAGTTTAGATCTTTCCTTCTACCCTTGTGTCTCCAAAAGCAAACTCAGGGTGTTAGTCTTTGTTATTGAACACCTTTACCTGCTAAGCCATCTTACTGGTCCTTTTTTTATTGTATGTGTGTAGTATATGCATGTGTATATGTTTTTGTGTGTACATATATTTGTGGGTGCACATCCTATGTGTGTGTGTGGCAGCCAGGGGTCTGCACTGAATGTCTTCCTCTATCCTTATGTACCTTTTTCTTTTTTCTTTCTAAGACAAGATCTCATGTAGCCCAGACTGACCTTGAATTTTCTACATAGCCTTTGATGACCTTGAACTTCTTTTGTATATATGTTTGGGTGGTGTGTGTGTGTACACATGCATGTGTGGTTATGCATATGTGTGCATGTGTACATGTGGAGGCCAGAGGACATTGGGTATCCTCCTGTGTGGTTCTCCATCTTGCTCCTTGGAGACAGGATCGTTCACTGAATCTAGAGCTCCTAGTTTTCCTGTTGAGCTAGTGAGCCGCAAGTCCCAGTGATCTTCCTGTCATCAGCTCCCCCCCACCCCCGAGAGAGAGAATGAGAGAGAGAGAGAGAGAGAGAGAGAGAATGAGAACCACCCAGGGCCTGTGTAAGCAGGCTACCTGGAACTCTACTGCAGTTGTCCTTCCTGCTCCTATGTTTATCCTTAGTTAATTGTTTTCCTTTCCAGTAAGTTTTCTTATGAAAGTGCTAAATTTTATCTATCAGTTGTTAATGAACATACAAGTTGTTAAGATAAAATATGTATAAACATTGATGTAGATATTATGGGCTTATATTTTTTTTTCTTGTGGGCAAATACTGGGTTATATAATCAAAAGAAATTGTGAGCCACATGGAAGATGCCTGTTAAATTTCTAGTTACCAGAAAGCTTTTCCAGAGTGGTGATGTGATAGCCTGCCCTCACCCCAGCCACAGTCCTCAGCAGTGACCTAGCCCCTAGTTGTTTCTGCAGCCACGCCTCCAGATAAGTACTATCAGTCTGCTTAGTTTTGGTCATTTTACAAGCACTTTAGGCGTGTCTCATTTTTATTTTATTTACATTGAGAACTTGGAAAACCAATGATGCTGAACTTTTTCTTTTCTTTTCTTTTTTTTTGGTCTTTTTGAGACAGGGTCTCCCTGTAGCTCCAGCTGGCCTGGAACTTACTATGTATACCAGGCTGGCCTCTGAACTCACAGAGATCCTCCTGCCTCTGCCTCCTGAGTGCCTTGAATAAAGGCGTGTGCGACCACGCCTGACACTTTTTCTTTTTTTTTCTTTTTTTTTGGTCTTTTTGAGACAGGGTCTCCCTTTGTAGCTCTGAACTACCTATTATTTTCATGTATTTATTGACCATTCCTATGAGTTGAATATCCCATATCTGACATAGTCGTAGTCAGAAGTATTTCAGATGTCAGTGCTTAGGCTTTTTTTTATGTGTATGAGGATATTGTTTGCATGTGAGTAAATGCACCCTTGCCATGTAGTGCTGGCAGAGGTTGGAAGAGGGCATTGGATCCCCTGGAACAGGAGTTAGAACAATTGTTAGCTGCCATGTAGGTGCTGGGAATTGAACTTGTATCTTCTGCAAGAGTAGCCAGTGCTATTACCCTCTGAGCTATTTCTCCAGCCCCAGTGTTTAGTTTTTTGGTTTGTTTTATTTTTTAAATATTTTATTTATTATTTTTATTTTATGTGTATGAGTGTATTGCCTGCATGTATGTGAGTGCACCCATGTCATGCAATGCTGCGGAGGTCAGAAGAGTGCTTCGGAGTCCCCTGGAACTCTAGTTAAGGACGGTTAATAGCCGCTATGTGGGTGCTGGGAATTGAACCTGGGTCCTCTTCAAGAGCAGCCAGTGCTCTTAAGCACTGAGCCATCTCTCCAGCCCCGGTTTGTTTTATTTTTTTGATTTGTTTCGTTCTGTTTTTTGGGTTTGTTTTGTTTTTTGAGACAGGGTCTTACTATGTAGCCCTGTCTGATGTAGAACTCAAAGAGATCTGCCTGCTTCTGCCTCCCAGGTGCTGGGATTAAAGGCATGCACCACTGTACCTGTTATTTTTTTTAACTTTTGAAATATTTCCAAAGAAAAGCGTAGTCTTAGGGATAGACTGAAGATTTAAAAAAATATATTTTATTATTTTTATTTTATGTGTATGAGTGTATTGCCTGCATGTATGTGAGTGCACCCATGTCATCAGAAGAGGGCATCAGATTCCCTGGAACTGGAGTTAAGGACGGTTCGTAGCCGCCATGTGGGTGCTGGAAATTGAACCCCGGTCCTCTGCAAGAGCAATCAGTGCTCTTAATTGCTGAGCCATCGCTCTAGCCCCAGGATAGACTGAAGTTTAAACACAAAATTCGTTTATGTTTCATATATACTTTGTAGATACAGCCTGAAGGTGACTTTATGTATTTTTATTTTGCTGGCATTTTTTTTTTTCTATTTTGATTGTATCTACCACACAAGATTAGGTATGGGATTTTGCAGTAGCTTAGTGGTGGAGCACTTGCATGCACTAACTACTAACTCATTAACTGTATAGATGCATGTGTGCATACATTATTCTGGTGAAATTGTTGGGGCTTCTGTGGTGTATGTCTAGGACTGCCCTCTTAGAATGAGCACAGGGACATTTTTCCTTCATATTCCCAACCCCTTTTTTTCTTGTTTATTTAATTTATTTGTTTAGGGTTT